TGGTGGCATATTTTTAGCTCTTCTGAGCCAAAGGCTCAAAGAGCTAATGCTATGGTCATTTGTGCGGTGTGCGTAAACTTTTTAGAATATGGGCCATAACTCAAGAACCCCTTGGCCAATTATTGTCAAATTTGTCACAGGGTATCCTTGGCCCAAGGGCTCCCTTTTATACTAAAATTGGGGTTGTGAACCTTTAACAAGGGGAGATAATTAGGAAAATAGAAACAAAAGTACTGGTTGCTAAGAAATCTTCTTCTCAAGAACCACTGGGCAGATTATCACCAAACTTACACAAAAGGATGAGGATATGTTGTAGATTAAAATTTGCACGGGGATTTACCCTGGGGCAAAGGTCGTGGTCTCAAGGTCACTTCAAAGTTGACCAAAAATTACATTTTATTAAAATGTTGATATTTTGCTTACTATAAGGACTAGGATCATCAAATCTTGTCAGTTGGTGCATCTAAGGACCTCATATCATGTTGACTCAAAAGTAGGTCACGGTGACCTACTTTTTAAATTTTGCGGCCATTCTTTTTCAAAATGATTTAGAGGCATATTTTGAACAATTTAAGGCCTATGATCATCAAACTTTGTCAGTTGATGCATCTTGGGTCCTCAAAGTACGTCAACTAAAAAGTAGGTCACCTTGACCTACTTTTTGAATTTTATGGCTAATCTTTTTTAAAACAATTAAGGTCATTAATTCGAATATGGGGAGGCTTAGAATCATTAAATCTTGTAAGATGATGCATCTTGGGGCCATAAAACATATTTATTAAAAAGTAGGTCACAGTGACCTACTTTTTGAACTTTGCAGGCATTCGATTTCAAAGCGTTTTAGAGGCATAATTTGGACATTTTAAGTCCTATGATCATAAAACTTTGTAAGTTGATGCATCTTGGGTCCTCAAAAAAGGTCAACTGAAAAGTAGGTTACCGTGATTGAAATTGAAATTGAAAAGTAGGTCACTTTGACCTACTTATAAAATTTTATGGTTATAATTTTAAAAAATATTTTAGGTATTAATTGGCTTAGAATCATCAAATTTAGTTGATGGGTCCTCAGAGAATGACAAGTTATAAGTAGGTCACCATGACCAACTCTCAGGTACTAATTGGCTTAGAATCATCTTGAGTTCTCAGAGTGTGAATTGGAATTTCAAGGGTTTATCTAAATATACAGGATACTTCGAGGCTTCAAATAGAAGTGATAGGTTGTACAGTTTATCAGAAGAGCGATTCAAGGCCCATGGGCCTCTTGTTTAAAAATCTTATCAAGAACCACGGGGCCAAAAAAGATGAAACTTAGGTGAAACCTTCATTAGATAGTTAAGATTCAATTATCTTTAAATCATGTCCCCTGGGGATAGAGTGGGGCAACAATGGGGGATCAAAGTTTTACATAGGAATACATAGGACAGCAGTGACATTATTAGTCATATTAATATGGAAGCATCCTCAGCTAGTGTAGATTGAAGTTTGTTAAAATCATGACCCCCAGGGATAATGTGGGGCCAAGTACAATAAGTGATCAAAGTTTTACATAGGAATCTATTGGAAAATTCTTTCAAAATCTTCTTCTCGATAACAGCAAATGCAGGATTATTCATATTTTATGGAAGCATCCTGAGGTAGTGTAGATTCAATTTTTTTTTCAGATCTTGACCCTTTGGGGTTGGATGGGGACACAATAGGGGATCAAATTTTTACATATGAATGTAATGGAATGTTCAACTGCTGATGAAGAAACAAGAAGGGCCATAGTTACTCAGCTGAGCATTGTGGCTTGGGCCTCTTTTTTTAAAAATAGAGATGACTCTTTGACAAATACATGTAATTAAGAATACATTTAATACAGGTCCCCAAAGAACAAGCTGTGACAAACAGGGTAACAAAGAAAAATAGAATTATAAGGTGTGGTAGAGATGTTCCTGACATGGTGTCTAATGCAGTATATGATAAATCACAAACTTCTCAAGACTAACAAAATAGCAGCTGACAAAGAATTTAATTATTGAATTAGATAACATATGTGTGTGTGTTTTGTTTCTGTAATATAAACGGCACACTCCTAATATTGACTAAGTACTACTGGTACGCTAAATGTTAAACTCTTTCATCCCTAGTAATCATGTATCCATCTGGTGTTGATACATGTAATTTAAACAAATATTAATCTTTGTCTTAACAACGTATATGACTTTCTTTTAAATCCTTGTCAGTAATGTATTTTAAGTAATGAATATGGTTGTAGGTGCCAGGCTTCAATGAAACATGTGTTCAATTAATGGCGGGGGAGAACTGCAGTAAACTTACAGGGTATAAAGCTGTGTATCGCTTGTGTTTGGGAATGGTGGCCTTCCATTTTGTTTTGTGTCTACTCACCATTTGTGTCGACTCTAGTTCCTACTGCCGTGGAGGTATACACAATGGGTAAGACTTCCCTTTCACACTATATGCTCATAAACAGTTTTGATGAAGATAGATCTTTATCGTCCAATTAGGTGTAATATTTAATGTAGGTAAACTTGAAATTTACGGAAGGTTTCATTATTTAGAATTCATTCAATGATAGGGTTGGTTTAAAATGACACATTTTACTTACAATACTGAGAATGCAATACACTTGCAGAAGTACCTGTTTTCTTTGCAAGTTTACTCATGTAGCTCTGATTTGAGATTACATGTATTTCATCAATGTTATTCCAGGATCACCATCGTAAAATAGAAGACAAAAGGAATACAGATGTTTTACTTAGAAATATGTATTTAAAAAAATCTTTCCATGTAAATATGGGCTACAATTTATCAAATTGATATGCAGAAAAAAGAATAGGTGGCCCTAAGAAATAAAATGCTTTGTGATACTCAGATCTCTTGTTTTGATCAGGTACTGGTTTTGGAAGATCCTGTTTTTCATCGGTTGCCTTGTTGCTTCATTCTTTATGCCTCACACATACAGACTTTGTAAGTACAGTAACTCACAGTACTCAAGTGCTAGCATACTAACACAATAATAAAATAAAATCTTTGTTTCCCCTTACCTAACACTTAATTTGGGGGATGGATCAGTAGGTTAGCCCTTTTCTATGTAAAAAGGGAAAGTATTAAAACTCCATTCTGTGAGAGAAAGAACTAATGGTGGGTGATAGGCCAAAGACACTTTTTTCTCTCACAAAATGAACAAATTGAGGCAATTTCTCCTGCTTAAAGTGTGACTTCTACTTTCCCACATGGCATTGTTGTTAGAATGGACAGCACCAGATAATTTGCATCTTGAGCGCACTTTTTCAAAGTTTTGTAAGCATGAATTGTTCATAGATAGTATTGTTTTAGGAATGGATATTCCTAGGTTAGTGTTTTTTTATAGAAAAAAAAACAAATAATGCAAAAAATCATTCATGTAAGAAATGTAGTTTGGCATCTCCTAGAATCTTGTACCCTAAGTAGTGAACTTGAATGGAAATAATGTGAGATGTAAAAGAGAAATATACCGGTATTAATCAGTGGCAGATTTAGGGGGTTTGGGACCCCCTCCCCCCATAAGGGGTGGTAAGGAAAGATCGTGATAGTCCATGCAGCTAGTGATGACACAAAGTCATAAACGTAGATTAATTTTGTTATTTTCACCATAATTCAGTGTACGTTGACCTTATCGATCTTATAAATGCGTTCTCTTCCTTATATTGAAGATTGGATGTATGTGGGGATGGTTGGAGGTGTTATTTTCATCATTTTCCAGCTGATATTACTGGTGGATTTCTGTCATTCTTGGCATGCTAAATGGTAGGTTTGTAGTTGGATGTATTTGTACATTTACAGATTATGAATCGTTTGTGAACTATCTTAAAAAGTTTTTTTTTTTTATTTCTTATGGATCATTCATACAGTATTTTTTTAAGAAATGAATTTAATTTTTGAAGATTCATGAGGACATGAACTACGACGCTTCCACCGGCATATTTCATGAAGCGCGTTAGCGCTTCATTATAAAATTGCCGGCATGACGCGTTGTAGTTCATGTACCTCATGAATTTTCAAAAATTTAATTCATTTCTTATATTTACATTATTTTTCTGATGATTTGCCACAAATAACGCCATTCAACTGTTCATTTTTAAGCAAAACATTTTGCACTATAGTTTTGACGTCAAGTAAGGTATTATGACGTAACAATGGAGATATTCATGCCCATTCATGGTAGTTCATGAGAAAATAAACTGTATTCTATTTTATAAAGAATCATAGGGGAAATTTATTGGAAATGTAAATATGTAGTTATATGTACAAGCAATATCTTAGATAAAGTGAATATATTCTCATTTTATCCTTTTATTGTACATATATAATCTGCAACTTTTAAAGAAAATCTTGTTCATTCTGGATAATGAAAAATTTAATTCCTGGGAATTCCTGGGAAAAGAATACATTTACGTGCATATATTGTATAGATTTAAAATATCTTAGGATTGGTCAACCTGTGATTTGAATTTTAATATCAATCTCCAAAATTTACCAGTATAAATTTTTTTGTAGGGTTGGAACAAAATCCGGTCATAAAAGTACCTGTGGACGTTGTGGTATGTATATTGGGCTGAGAATAAATGCAGAGCAATATTATATTTTGATACAGCCAGCATCAAATCCATTTTCAATGTTAAGTGAATGATATTTATGTGAGTGGTCTCTCATAAAATTATGCTATTATAAATTCCTTGGGTTTACATGTATCTATTGTACTGTAAAATCTCTTATTTTCGAGGGGTCCAATTTTCATGGTTAGAGGAAAAATTACAGGTTCGATGGGATTTAATTTCATGGTTTAAAGATAAACATTATCTGCAGTATGAAATTTTAACATTTTGTGGAGGGTATGAATTCTTGGGTATAACAAGGAGAAATAAACCCCCACAAGAATGAGTGATTTCACAATATGATTCTACACTACCTTACAATCTGGTCAGATCATCTTAATGTTTATTTAATTAAAGCCCTTATTATAGCAGCAGTGTTTTGGGGGGTTTTTTTGGGGGGGGGGGGGGGGGGGGGGGCAGTTGATTCCTCTTTTCATAAAGTTTCACATGTGTGGACACATGTAACCCCCACTTGTAGGCCTGCTGGTATTTATAAAAGTTTTTCACAAGTCATTGTTAGATAAGTACAATGCATAATATAATAATACAATGTAGCACAATACTCTGATGTCTCCAGAGCGATATTAAAGAAGCTGTTTGGAAATATAATTCACATTAGAGAATTAAAGAAAGGCAATAATGTTTTTGAGAAATTTTTGTGTATTGTATCGAACAATAAGGGGTTCCTTATTGGGGAAAAGATTATGACCTCCATTTTGTGATTTCTGAATCAAGGAAAGATAATTATGTGTGTAATAGAGACTATACCGTCCAGTTGTTTTAATAGTGCTTTTCAGTACTTTTGATTTTTTGCATAGAAGGAGAAGTTGTTACCATGTATCATTAAATACCGGTATACACATGTAAGTTGTCTGGTCATTAAATGTATATATGTAAGTACACCCAGACACACCTGTAACTTTCTCATTACAATCTTTGAATACTGAATTTTATGATTTTCTTCAGGTACTTTGCTGTTTGCCGTCATTTTCTATTTGGCCAGCGTTGCTGCTGCTTTTTTGCTGTTTTGGAATTATACCACCTGGGAAGGGTGCCTTCATAATAAGATATTCATAGGAGTCAACACATCTCTCTGTATTATTTTATCTGCAATAACCATTGTACCTGGTGTGGCAAGGTGTAAGTGCACTGAGTAGTACAAATTTTATATCAACAAAGTAATAGAGTAAAGAAAACCATTTAAATGATGGGAGATTGAGGATTTTTAAATCAATATTTACATATTATGAATGGACATGAAATTATCTGCATAGTTTAACCAATATATGTGGAGTACATACTATATGAAAACATTAACAAATTGTAAACATTCGAGTAAAAATATTTTTCAGTCAACCCAAACACTGGGATTCTGCAGGCCTCCGTCATTACATTCTACGTGATGTACCTCACCTGGACTGCTTTGTCCAGCGAGCCACCTGAAGACAGTAAGATTCTTTTTTTGAGTAAACTCCAATATTCACAAGAACATTTAAATCCTATCTTCTCTTTAAAGCTTCCAAATTAAGCACTTCATATGTAAACTAGTTTGCACTCTCTTTTATTAAATCATCAGAAGTCCAATTTAATAATAATTAGGGTTATCAACCAGTAAGCTGTTACTCGAGTATACTTGTCGAAAGGTGTGAGTATTGAATACTGAAATCAGTATTTGAGTACTTGGAAAAAACATTGCTTGGATCTAAGATCCTACCTTGTTTTGACAACAGTTAAAGTAATTAGCAACCTCTGTCAGTCAGTATTTTGTTTATAGTAAGGGACACTTCATTATTTGACATCACAGTTCAAATTAATTCAATAATATAGGCTATAAAAATTATGTTCAATCAAAGAGAATGATATACATCGTGAAAATGGATAGGTTTAAATTTTGATTTTTTCCTTGAATATTGACTGAGTACTGGATCAGAAAGGTAGGCAAGTAACCTTTTACTAAAACTGATTGATTTGACAACCCTAATAATATATATATTGTAACAGAATTACTTTAATATTTTAGTTGTGGAGTTGGAAAATACTGTCAAAGTGTTTTATTCAAAACAAGTGGACAAAAAAAAGTCCGTCAAGGACATGCCAATTAACATGGATGGTCTAGATGATATGCGTAACATCCACAGTCTCTCCATTACTAACGGTACTCAGTGTAGGCCTATGCCTACATTTGACCACATGGAAATGATATCGGCTTATGCTGGCCTGTTAATTATGTTGGTTGTGGCCATCTACTCAAGGTAAATTCCTCAAACCTTCAGAAACTTAAAGAAACTCCTGATGTTACATAATTAAGTTAGCTTAACAGAAAATAAAGGATTGTATTTACATTTGAAAATTATTTCATATTCCTATTGATTTTCTCCATCTCTGTGTTTTAAAGAAAGGGTAATTAATGTTGTTGTTTTTTTTCTTTGTAGTTTACAAACATCCATTGCGTCCCACCGTCTTGGGGTGCGGAGAACTAGAGCGGCCGTGTCAGAGCGCTATGAGTGCTGCTGCTGCTGTAGAGTAACAGGAAGTAAGAAAATTCATTGTCAGAGGAACCAGATTTAAAGGCTCGAGAATCACATTTAATTTTGGGGGATATCTTAACAGATATATTCATCAGAATTCTCAAATATTTAGGAAAAAGTTCCAGAAGGAATGATGTTCAAATATGGGCTATTTTTACTGGTTCATGTATGTGATAAAAGTTCTAAAGGAAATTTGCATTTTTAAAGAATTGCTAAATTGATTACTGGCTTCTTGGTGGTTATATTTCCAGTGTCTGTAGTCTTTCAATAAGCTATTCCTCCAGTGTTTTTTTTTTTGGTGTGGTTTCCGTAAAACTTCTTTCACAAATTCACTGCATCAAGATACATAATGAATTTTAGTTTCAACAAGTGTGTAGCCAATGCCCATGGTAATTAAGAATACTAATCCTGATACACTTCTGGTCTGATTTCTCTAAATCTGCGCACCATTCTAGCTAAGGAATCAGATTTTCATATTTTATTTAAAGGAATCAATAAAGGTAGAATTTTCTGTGAAATTCTTTCAAAAGGCTAATTCTCTAACAGGTTTAGTCTGAATGCAGTAAATCTTGCCACAAAAAGACTAAACCAAGGACCATTATTCTATTTATTGCTGTTGCGTAGTTTCAAGTGCAAGTGCAACTTTTCTCTTCCTTTGTTATAAATACATATATATTATTATAACAGTAACTTGATCCGAAGAGCCGTATCATGTCAAGTTGACAGGCGCGGATCATCAGATCAAACGAGACGCGAAGCGTCGAGTTTGATCTGATGATCCGCGCCTGTCAACGAGACGTGATACGGCTCTTCGGATCAAGTTACTGTTATAATGATAAATTTATTATATACCCCTTTACAACTAGCAAAATATAATAAAAGGAAACTTTTTGGATCAATAACAGAACTTAAATCCATTAAACAAACCATTTTGTCAAGGAACATTTTGATGCGCGAGAATAAAAACGTCATTTATCTGTGTACTACGTCATCAGTTTCAGAGAGGGGTGATATGGATTCAGAAAACCACAGTGTGGTGATCCGGAATGTCGGATCACATCGTCACGTGATTTCGTGAATTCAACAGTAAAACTGAGTGACGAACAGTTGGGTATATAATAAAAACCAGTAGCACTACAGTCTCATCAGAGACTTCTGGTTTATTGTGCAATGCATATCGTGATACAGAAATTAAAATACCTTTATTTAGTATGTTATAAACTCCAGAAATAATTGTTTTTTTCAAACTTTAGAATAACAATTACCAGAATTGTAAAGAATGTAAAACAATAAAACAACGGTATCTTGGCATCAAAACTTGCTTACAAGCTTATATACATATATGACTCCAAAGTCCGATGGTCACAACAAAGTCTGATGGTCTTGCCAAAGTCCAATAGTCTGTGCCAAACCTGATGATTTGGTGTCAGTAAAGATGCCAAAGTCTGATCTGATGGCTCGTTTCCTATGAGACACACTGTGCTAAAGTGCGATGGTCTGACACGCCAAAGGCTGATGGCGCAGAGAAACAATCAGTGAAAATCCAATGTCAATACTATACACCGATAAAAGCCAATGATTAAGAATTAGTCCTTCCATAAAATGTGAATGATTTTGCTTAATGCTTCAGCCACCTCAGATATTAGGGTTAGTCCCTGCACACCACTCGACTGACAAGGGTAAGTCCTTGCACTATTGGACGTATTATGGGATAGCTTCACACCAAATCGAAAGTTTTAGGGTTAGTCCTCACATATTATTAGAATATGGTTAGTCTGGCACCCACCAAAGATTTTTAGGAAGACTCATTAGTCTTATGGTTAGTCTCACTCCTATGCACCCAAAATATATGGGTGTGCATACTTTTTGAGCAATAAGGGTTAGTCTTGCAGCCATCCAAGTGATTAGGGTTTGCTTTGCACCTACTCAAAAATTAGGACTAGTAGTACAATTTAAATTTTGGCGTACTGTGAATAATGAACCATTTCACTTCCGTGATCAAATGTTTAATATGTGTATTTATTTGAAACCATCGGACCTTGGCACGGCATCTCAGTTCAGTGTAGTAGTACTATTATGTACGCACAATCAGACTTTGGCTTGTCCATCAGACTTTAGAGTCCCACCGTACTTAAGAGTCCTACATACCGGTATATTCAATAAAAATGAAAAAAAAGTGAAGTTATAGTTTCACAATATATTTGTCAGAAAATTAAGGAAACTCATTTGAAATCATAGCAAAAATTGTGTGTAAAAATATGATGATATTATCCTAATATTTTTGGAAAAAATCATGATATATAGTGATACAAAATTTTGGTCATACCCATCCCTAGTGTGGGGTATGTCAGCTTGTTAACTTTTTTTTTTATATTGATATGGTTTTAAAAAAAAAGAGTACAACTTATACACAGAATCATCTTCAGGGCCTTCTATACACTTCTGAAAATTTTTTTGGGTGACAAAAAAATTATAAAGGTTTAAATAATGAGTTTTTCTATTTCAATTTCAAAACAAGGGTACCAGCCATTTATCCTCAAAAAAAAATGTTGCAAGACAAGAAAAGAGATCAATGGTGCTTACGTCAATCAGGAAAATACATGTACATGCAATTAAAGTGTTCAATTTATTTAGTTTGGTCTAATAAGATGTTAAGAATGTCGAATTGATTACAAATTAAGTAATGCAGGGCTAGAAATAATTATTTTTGTTTACTGGTCACTGGCTATCACCTTCAATTTTTACTGGTCAGGTTAGTACTTTCACTGTCCCACTGGGCCAGTAGATTTAAAAAAAAAACTGGCCCAAAACCATGATAATAATAGTAATAATTTTTTGTTATATATATTATGATACTTAGAAGTACAACTTAATTAACAAAACAAGAAACAGCAGAAGTTGGGACACACAACCCTGTCAAGTTAACTAGCCCGACTGTGAATGAATTTTATGCATTAAAAAATGCTGACCCAAAGGGCACATGCCCTCTGCAATGTATCAGCCCAGATTAAAAATTTACTGGCCCCAGACCAGCGGGTCATTAATTATTTCGAGCCCTGTAATGCATAGTAGATTTCAGAACTAAGGGCAGATGACTCTAACTGCATAAAAAACCATATTCAGTTTTGTTATAAATCTGAATAGAACTTGAAGGAAGCCTATTATTCAAACCTGAGACTTTTCTTTTTTCAGAAACAAACCATTCAGAGAAAGGGGGACAGAGGGTGAATTATAATGAAGCTGAGGCTACAACATATAATTATGCTTTCTTCCATTTTGTATTCTGCTTGGCGAGTTTATATGTTATGATGCAGCTCACCAATTGGTACAGGTAAGTAATTTCATTACAGAGAAACAATATTTTCATGTAATTAAATTTTAAAGAATTCTGTTGCCATGTTTTTTTTATCTACAGGTGTACATTTTTTGCTTTTTAAAAAAAAAATAAGCCAATTTTTTAGAAAATTTATCTGAAGCAGGTCTTCTGACTGGCAACAAATCATTAGATTTTTGGAGATACAGTGAATAGGTTGAGACAGAGATTTCTCTCTCTCTCTCTCTCTCTCTTTGGAAGGGGGTGGGAGACTTTCAGCTTGTGAGAAAATTTTATGTAACCATATCTGGAAACGTTGGCAAGTAACATGGAAGTATTGTGAAAATATTTTGACCAGAAAAAAATGGCAGAGGTACATGTATGCTTCTCTGACCATCCTCTTTATACGAAATACAGTTTCCCAAAAGAGGAATAAATCTAACTAAATATATGTATTAAAAGAGTTTAAAAAAAATTTTTTTAATATGATATTATTATACCCCCGCTCCGAAGGAGAGGGGGGTATACTGTTTTACCCTTGTGTGTCTGTCTGTCTGTCCGTCTGTCTGTCTGTCCGTAACAAATTTTGGTCGCAGTTTTCTCAGCAACTACTCATTGCAGAAGCTTGAAATTTTAGCACAATCTTTGTTTAGGCATGCCATATGGTGGGATTCATTTTTGTACAAATTGGATGTCAACTTCCTGTTTATCCGTGTGTCTGTCCGTACCATACATAACAAATTTTGGTCGCAGTTTTCTCAGCAACTACTCATTGCAGAGGCTTGAAATTTTAGCACAATCTTTGTTTAGGCATGCCATATGGTGGGATTCATTTTTGTACGAATTGGATGTCAACTTCCTGTTTATCCGTGTGTCTGTCCGTACCATACATAACAAATTTTGGTCGCAGTTTTCTCAGCAACTACTCATTGCAGAAGCTTGAAATTTTAGCACAATCTTTGTTTAGGCATGCCATATGGTGGGATTCATTTTTGTACGAATCTGATGTCAACTTCCTGTTTATCTGTATGTCTGTCCGTACCATACATAACAAACTTTGGTCGCAGTTTTCTCAGCATCTACTCATTGCAGATGCTTGAAATTTTAACACACTCTTTGTTTAGGCATGCCATATGGTGGGATTCATTTTTGTATGAATTCGATGTCAACTTCCTGTTTATCCGTACGTCTGTCCGTACCATACATAACAAATTTTGGTCGTAGTTTTCTCAGCAACTACTCATGGCAGATGCTAGAAATTTTAGCACAATCTTTGTTTAGGCATGCCATATGGTGGGATTCATTTTTGTACGAATTCGATGTCAACTTCCTGTTTATCCGTGCTTCTGTCCTTACCATACATAACAAACTTTGGTCGCAGTTTTCTCAGCAACTACTCATTGCAGATGCTTGAAATTTTAACACACTCTTTGTTTAGGCATGCCATATGGTGGGATTCATTTTTGTACGAATTCGATGTCAACTTCCTGTTTATCCGTGCTTCTGTCCTTACCATACATAACAAACTTTGGTCGCAGTTTTCTCAGCAACTACTCATTGCAGATGCTTGAAATTTTAACACACTCTTTGTTTAGGCATGCCATATGGTGGGATTCATTTTTGTACGAATCTGATGTAAATTTCCTGTTTATCCGTGGGTCTGTCCGTACCATACATAATAAATTTTGGTCGTAGTTTTCTCAGCAACTACTCATTGCAGGTGCTTGAAATCTTAACACAATGTTTGTTTAGGCATGCCATATGTTGGGATTCATTTTTTACTAATCCAATGTCAATTTCCTGATTATCACTGTGTTTGTCCATAATTGAACTTGTGTATTCACATCAGAGCGGGGATATTATTAGTGAGCATTGGCTCACAGACTTCTTGTTATGAATAAAGACAAAGCTTGTTAAAAAAATATATGTCTGATTCTCTGAAGGGAAATTTCACAGTTGTTTTTTGTTTTGTTTGTCTTTACTGCAAAAGAGGAATTCTAGTATTAAAGTAAAGCTTTGTTTCAGACCAGAGGAATCAGATTTGAACACATTTGGACTGAATTGGGCAGCAGTATGGGTCAAAATGGGCTCTAGTTGGGCTTGTGTTGTTATATACATACTGACACTGTTCAGGCCAAAGTTTTGTCCTGGGCGAGATCTAGCTTTTCGTAGAAATGAAGAGATTCAAGTGGACGGGGAAGGTGATGCAATGAGGAGGGAAACCACCATATAGGGTAGAGGTCAGTGGAAATGTACAGGATATGTAAATATGTGTAAATACAACAAAACATACTGATATATGTCTGACAGAGAAATTTTTTTCCGTATTTTTTCAAAATATTGTTATATAGATTTTGATCTAAACAGGAGGTACTTTTTTCTTTTTGAAAACAGATTTTAATAATTGTTCTTTGAAAAATATTTTTGTTACAGCAAGAATTGCTTACTGGTGTGCCATTTTTTATAAAGTTTTTAATTACACCTAAAAAAAAATACATTGAATTTGGTTTAATGTTGTAATTATAAGGTGTAATGCTACACGTTTGTTGATTTTTTCAAGATATAGAATTCAAGGGTTACAGATTTTGATATACATGTACCTTCAATGTACAGAACTAAAAGTACATTGTAAATTAAAACGAGAGTTTTAATGAAATAATGTTCATGATTGATATGAAATGGAATGTATGGTGCTTTTATTGGTTTGTTCAGTTAGAGGAAATTGCTAGTCAGAAAAAAGTAACTCATTTTTTCATTGTGTACATAATGATTCATAATGATTCATCCATGTATAGAATTATTAACTGCTTTTCAAATGTACAAAACATGTATCCGTGTATATGTGATTGATATTTAGGGTTGTATGTTTCATATGTATTTCTCTATACCGTGGTACTTGTATGTTCTGTCATTTTATTTCCCCATTTTGGAGGACCAATTCTTGAGAGTTTTTTTTTACTTCTTGATATGTTTCTTTGTTTTTATCTTGTTAAGATAGAATTTGATGTGAACCTGTAATATTTTTACCAATTCCTGTTAAGTACAATTACTAACATGTAAGAACATCTTGTAAAACACATTTGTTATGTGTTTGTTTTCTCCACTTGTTTTCATTTGTTTATTTTTGTTGTTTATTTTGATTACTTCTGGAAACATCATGTGATTTTTGTCACTTAGTTATACATTTCAACCCTCTAGAAGAGATTTAAAGTTAAGAACACTGGTTGTGAAGTTTATTATTTTATGCTTCATATAGATTTTATCATTTTTTAAATGTACTAAAATACATCATATATTACATGTAAATACATAACCTTATATGGGAATTTATTTTATATTCAATTTGTTACTTTTTATGAATATTTTAATAAACATGAAGAACAGATAATGTCAATTTCCCAGGAATTTCATTGCAAAACCTTTTTGTATTTAATAATTAGAAATATTAGAATAAATTAAGACCTCACAAGTGATGGGTCTATAGTTGATGTTTCCTTTGTGTAAATATTTTTATGTAATATTGAAAAATCATCAATGTTTGTGAATTTTCATTCTCACAAATCTTATCTTTGTCAAATATCTGTTTAATGATTTATTTGTACATCCAAAATTATGTGCCCATGAACAGTTAATCTGGTTGCCCACAAAACATGAACCCCTAAAAATTAAAGTGGTTGTTCAGTAAGTAATGCAAAAGGTCATCTAAAAACAAGAAAAGCATGAGGAGCAGTTTTTAGATATTTTTAATCCCACAAAATATTCCCTGTTGACCTCTACACACGTCTTAAGTCTTTGTACCCATGGCCATGACCAAAACACCTCAGCATCCTTGTCTTGAGGGAAGCTCAAATGTAAAGTCTTCCTTTGATTCTTTTCTTGCATTTTTGTAAAAAAAAAAAAATCTCAATGACTGAGATCTAGCGAATATGGGGGGTGGCTAAGCTCTGTAAGTGTTCCTTTCTTTATGATTTCCTTTATTTCTCTATGCTTATTTGCAGCAGCGTAGTCAGGTAAAAGTAAATTACTCAGAGATAATTTAGACTTCTCTTACAGAAAGCCTGCTTAACTTTCCCTATTGCAAAGTTAGCATAAAGCTACCATTGATGGTCCTTCCTTTGGGTGTAGTATATAATTATATTACTAGACCTTATCTCTTGATAAAGTGATATCTTCTAAATTTCAGAGCTTCTATCTGGAATGAAGCTCTTCAGTAAAAAGAAAACCTGTATAAGACATGTTTCGAGACCTAGCTTCTCTTTGCAATAATAGAATGACAGCTTTCTTTCTGATCCCACTTTTAATAAAAATTAAAAGTGTATTTTATGTATTGTAAAATATTTTTTTTTTCATAAAAGTGGATATTACTTTTGGGTTATAAAAAGTGTATCCAGGTTTCCTCATTCATCACCCAAGTCTATGATACCTTTTTTGGTAAAATGTCTATTTTTTGATTGACCATTAATTGGCACATTTAAGGCATGTTTTCTCTTAAGTATCTGCAAGGAAATAAGGCACCCATCAGAAAAAAATATTTAATATTTTTAGGTCACCTGAGTCACTCAGGTGACCTATTGCTATCCGTTTTTGTCCGTTGTCGTGCGTCGTGCGTTAACATTTAAACATTTTCAGCTTCTTCTCTGAAACTGCTCAACCAATTTCAGCCAATTTTGGCATATAGCATCTATGGGTGAAGGGGGACAAAAATTGTGAATTTCATGGTCCCTGCCCCCCTGGGGCCTGAGGGGTGGGGCTAAAACCACCAAAATTAATGCAATCTTTAAAAATCTTCTTCTTTACTCCTGGACATCAAGCAGTCAAACTGTTGACATGATTGTAATAAGCATTGAGCCCTCTACCAAAATTGTGAAATTCATGGCCCCAGGGTCAGGGGTTCTGGTGCTAGGGCGGGGCTATATAGATCATATAGTGAAAGTGCATTATTTCTTTGAAAATCTTCTTCTCTACCCCTGGGTATTATTGAACAAAATTGAATACATATTTATGATAAGCAAGAGTGACTTTACCAAAATTGTGAAATTCATGGCCCCAGGGTCAGGGGTTCTGGTGTTAGGGCGGGGCTATATAAATCATGTAGTGAAAGTGCATTATTTCTTTGAAAATCTTCTTCTCTACTCCTGGGTATTATTGAAACAAATTGAATACATAGTTATGATAAACAAGAGTGACTCTACCAAAATTGTGAAATTCATGGCCCCAGGGTCAGGGGTTCTGGTGCTAGGGCAGGGCTATATAGGTCATATAGTGAAAGTGCATTATTTCTTTGAAAATCTTCTTCTCTACTCCTGGGTATCATTTAAACAAATTGAATACATAGTTATGATAAGCAAGAGTGACTCTACCAAAATTGTGAAATTCATAGCCCCAGGGGCAGGGGTTCTGGTGTTAGGGCGGGGCTATATAAATCATATAGTGAAAGTGCATTATTTCTTTGAAAATCTTCTTCTCTACTCCTGGGTATTATTGAAACAAATTGAATACATAGTTATGATAAGCAAGGGTGACTCTACCAAAATTGTGAAATTCATAGCCCCAGGGTCAAGAGTTCTGGTGCTAGGGCTGGGCTATATAAATCATATAGTGAAAATGCATTAATGCTTTAAAAATCTTCTCTACTCCTGGGTATTATTTAAACAAATTAAATACATTGTTATGATAAGCAAGGATGCCTCTTCCAAAATTGTGAATTTCATGGACCCTGGATCAGGGGTTCTGGTGTTAGGGTGGGGCTCTATTCAATATAAAGTGAAAACGCATTAATGCTTTAAAAATCTTCTCTACTCCTGGGTATTATTTAAACAAATTAAGTACATTGTTATGATAAGCAAGGATGCTTCTTCCAAAATTATGAAATTCATGGCCCCAGGTACAGGGGTTCTGGTGCTAGGGCGGGGCCATATATATCCTATAGTGAAGGTGAATTATTTCTTTAAAAATCTTCTTCTCTGCGCCTGGGTATTATTTAAACAAACTATTAGTACATTGTTATGATACGCAAGTATGCCCCTTCCAAAATTGTGAATTTCATGGCCCCAGGGTCAAGGGTTCTGGTGAAAAGGGGGGGGGGGGGGGCTCGATTGATTAGATAGTGAAAAATCAAAATTTCTCTGAAAATATTCTTTTCTGCTTCTGGTTAAAAAGCAAAGAAGCTAAGTGTCTAGTTATGATGAGCATGATTACTTCTTCCAGAGTAGTGAATTGCATGACCCCTGGGTCAGATGTGCTGGTGTAAGGGTGGGGCTCTTGATAATGTAGTGAAAATGCATTAATTCTGTTAAATAATCCTGTCTGCTCCTTAGTGTTAATCAGATAAACAAAGTGATTACTTACATGTATGATGAATAGACTTTTGGTCCCAGGGTGAGAGACTCTGGTGTTTCTCAGTGGGGATGGGAGGTGGGGGGGGAGGGGGGGGGGGGCTGGGGGGCTCTATTGATAATGTAGTGAATCTGTAGTAAAAACTGCATTATTTCTTTGAAAATCTTCTCTGCACCTGGGCATATCAGAGGCAAAAAGAGTAAAAGTTTTAATAAATATTTTTGAACATCTGGGCCATTTTGTCAAGTGTTCTGGTCCTGGCCAGGGCTCTATTAATTTGTATTCTACTGAGGGGAGTTATTCCCCTTTGCCATTTACTTTTGATAATTAGTCACTGTAAATAATGTACTTGAAAGGTTAATAGAATAAGAGAATTTTGCAAGATTTTTTATTGTATAATACAAAAAGTACTTTCATAGTTTTAATGATCAGGTAGACTTGTAAGTAATAGATAAATAAAAATGAGACAAAAATAACTTGTCTTATTCAATGTTCATCAAAGACCAAGAGAGTCCAATGTAAGAGATTTCAACAAGGAATTAAAATAGTACAGAAGCATTGATAGTTTGTTAATATACTGTATGGTGATAGTGATAAATGGGGAACAGATTAGAACCTAATTTATGAACTGTTAATGAACACTAGACTAATTATTTTGTTGAACCTGATCACCCTATTTTTCTTGCTTTTGGGCAACAAAGCTTCACTTTTCAGTTCATTTTATACTCTATGGATTCTCTAAATTGTTGTATTATACTCAGGTGACCGTTAAGGCCCTTGGGCCTCTTGATAGATTCATTTCCTTTGTCAGAGAACTCTTTAAACTGTTGTGGTGATGAAATACTAATGTCTAAGCAGTGTCTTTGACTGTAAACCTGAGATTTTTAGATATCATGTTACACTCAACATCGATATTTTTTGGTGAAAACTCTACAGCTTGAAAGACTAATTTTTCCACATATCAAAACCA